CCTCCTCCTCCTCCTCCTCCTCCTCCTCTTCCTCCTCCTCCTCCTCCTCCTCCTCCTCCTCCTCCTCCTCCTGGTAGTCCTCCCCCTCCCCTCCTCCTCCTCCTCCTCCTCCTCCTCTTCCTGGTCGTCCTCCTCCTCCTGGTCGTCCTCCTCCTCCTGCTCGTTCTCCTCCTCCTCCTGCTCGTCCTTCTTCTCCTGCTCCTCCTGCTCCTCGTCCTGCTCCTGCTCGTCCTCCTGGTCTTGCTCGTCCTCCTCCTCGTCGTGCTCTTGCCCCTGCTGAAAATGTGGCCCAGGAATGGGAGTTCTGGGAAGTCGAAGAGCACGAAGTTGCCTACAGTTGGCTACGGGCATTAAAAATGTGGCCCGGGAATGGAGTTCTGGGAACTCGAAGAGCACGAAGTGGCCTACAGTTGGCTCCGGGCATTCAAAATGTGGCCCGGGGGGGAAGGGAATGGAGTTTGGCGGAAAACTCGAAGAGCACGAGTGGCAGCCTACAGTTGGCTCCGGGCATTCAAAATCATGCCCAGGAATGGAATTCTGGGAACTCGAAGATCACGAAGTGGCCTACAGTTGGCTCGGGGCATTCAAAATGTGGCCCGGGAATGGAGTTCTGGGAACTCGAAGACCAGGAAGTGGCCTACAGTTGGCTCCGGGCATCCAAAATGTGGCCCGGGAATGGCGTTCTGGGAGGTCAAGGAGCACCAAGTGTATGACTGTTGCATCCGGTTATTCAGAATGTGGCCTGGGAATGGGGTTCTGAGAGGTCGACGAGCACGAAGTGTGTGACTGTTGGTGAAAAACGAGCCCGGCACAGGCCCGGCCGGCAACTCCCAACGCCTGCCCGACCCCCTGTGGAGTGATTCTGTGAGCTCTTTGAGAAATCAACTAGGAAACCATCAGTCTACGCGTTAGGTAAATATTTCAATTTAAACAACAACAATTACTAGCACGTGGGGACACTCCGTTCTCACCAGTGCCAGGGTTTTAATAGGAGGCGGGCAATACCCCCACTTTGTGGGGGGGCCGGTTCAAGCTCTACCAAATTTCCAAACGACTCTTCGCCACCACCCACACCCAGCTTCCCGCCATATGACGTTCGGACACTTCACTTCGTGGCATGCGGACGACCGTGGCTACTATTCAGGGCCCCGCGGCCGACGACGACGGCGTGCGCGCGCGAAGAAAAAACGAATGTGTACCGCATGGTATTATTTGACAGGGATGATGGCCCTGGCAGGTGCGCAACCGTTGTCGCAGAAGTTCGGAAAAGTTGCTCGCAAAAGCCCGTTTGACAGAAATGTTTAAAAAGTGTTGGGATTCCTACGAATCCGCAAGAGCGCGCGGGATGAGATTTTGACAATTTTTTGTTGAAAAACCATTGGTTTTTTGATGTTTTTATGTTAAAATCGCTGCGAACACTAAGGTTTTGGAAGGATTTCGTCTTGCGCGCGCGAATGTCAACTTTACCTTATTTTTTGCAAGGGATTCTTGAAATTTGATTATATTAGAACAAGAAATGTCATTTTATAGTGTTGTTTGCAAGGGAAAGCGGGGGGGAACAAAACAACCGGATCTTGATCACATCGAATTACCTGAGGCTTCCTCACGAAAATGATGAAAATGTAGCTGCGGCCTAGGCGGCGCAGGGGGGGCGCGCACCAGGGGGCCCAACAATAATTATTCTTTAGAATAAATAATGTTCAACAGCAACAACAACAACAACAACAACAACAACAACAACAACAACAACAAGTACTAGCACGTGGGGACACTCCGTTCTCACCAGTGCCAGGGTTTTCATAGGAGGCGGGCAATACCCCCACTTTGTGGGGGGGCCGGTTCAAGCTCTACCAAATTTCCAACGACTCTTCGCCACCACCCACACCCAGCTTCCCGCCCTATGACGTTCGGACACTTCACTTCGTGGCATGCGGACGACCGTGGCTACTATTCAGGGCCCCGCGGCCGACGACGACGGCGTGCGCGCGCGAAGAAAAAACGAATGTGTCCCGCATGGTATTATTTGACAGGGATGATGGCCCTGGCAGGTGCGCAACCGTTGTTGCAGAAGTTCGAAAAAGTTGCTAGCAAAAGCCCGTTTGACAGAAATGTTAAAAAAGTGTTGGGTTTCCTACGAATCCGCAAGAGCGCGCGGGATGAGATTTTGACATTTTTTTGTTGAAAAACCATTGGTTTTTTGATGTTTTTATGTTAAAATCGCTCCGAACACTAAGTTTTTGGAAGGATTTCGTCTTGCGCGCGCGAATGTCCACTTTACCTTATTTTTTGCAAGGGATTCTTGAAGTTTGGATATGTTAGAACAAGAAATGTCCACTTTAGCTTATTTTTTGCAAGGGAAAACCGATCGTAACAACACAACCGGATCTGGATGACATCGTTTTGCCTGAGGCTTCCTCACGAAAATGATGAAAACGTGGCTGCGGCCTAGGCGCGGCGGGGGGGCCATGTACCAGGGGTCCCAACAATAATTATTCTTTAGAAGTAATAATGTTCAACAACAACAACAACAACAACAGCAGCAGCAGCAGTAGCAGCAGTAGCAGCAGCAGCAGCAACGGCAGCAACAACAACAACAACAAAAACAACAACAACAACAACAACAACAACAACAACAACAACAACAACAACAACAACAACAGCGACACCAACAGCAACAACAACACCAACAGCAACAACAAGAATAAGCAGAACAACAACGAAACACACAACAGCAACAACAACAACAACAACGACGAACAAAACAAAACAACTATATATATATATATATATACAGATTAGAATGAACACACGTATATTACTATGGTTCAAAACAAACAAAAAATAGCCTGGCGAAAGACCCAACCATATGCACTGTAAGTACCACAATTGTGGATATCTTCTTCGGTGGAGCTCCCTATGGGGCCACGATCCTCGTGAGGGGTGTGCCGAAACGGCCCGAGGCCGCCATGCGAACCCTGCCACTGGCGCCTTCGGTGGAGCTCATATGGAACCACGATCCTCGTGAGGGGTGTGCCGACATGGCCCGAGGCCGCCATGCGAACCCTGCAACTGGCGCCTTCGGTGGAGCTTCCCATGAGGACAGGATCCTCGTGAGGGGTGTGCCGAAATGGCCCGAGGCCGCCATGCGAACTTTGCTAGTGGCGCCTTCGGTGGAGCTCCTATGGGGCCACGATCCTCGTGAGGGGAATGCCGACATGGCCCGAGGCAGCCATGCGAACTTTGCCACTGGCGCCTTCGGTGGAGCTCCTATGAGGCCACGATCCTCGTGAGGGGTGTTCCGAAATGGCCCGAGGCCGCCATGCGAACCCTGCCACTGGCGCCTTCGGTGGAGCTCCATGGACGATCTCCCTGTGAGGGCCGAAATGGCCCGAGGCCGCCCTGCGAGGGGTGTGCCGAAATGGCCCTTCGGTGGAGCTCCTATGGGGCCACGATCCTCGTGAGGGGTGTGCCGAAATGGCCCGAGGCCGCCATGCGAACTCTGCTACTGGCGCCTTCGGTGGAGCTCCTATGGGGCCACGATCCTCGTGAGGGGTGTGCCGACATGGCCCAAGGCCGCCATGCGAACTTTGCTACTGGCGCCTTCGGTGGAGCTCCTATAGGGCCACGACCCTCGTGAGGGGTGTGCCGAAATGGCCCGAGGCCGCCATGCGAACCCTGCCACTGGGGCCTTCGGTGGAGCTCCTATGGGGCCACGATCCTCGTGAGGAGTGTGCCGACATGGCCCGAGGCCGCCATGCGAACTTTGCTACTGGCGCCTTCGGTGGAGCTCCTATGGGGCCACGATCCTCGTGAGGGGTGTGCCGAAATGGCCCGAGGCCGCCATGCGAACTTTGCTACCGGCGCCTTCGGTGGAGCTCCTATGGGGCCACGATCCTCGTGAGGGGTGTGCCGAAATGGCCCGAGGCCGCAATGCGAACTTTGCTACTGGCGCCTTCGGTGGAGCTCCTATGGGGCCACGATCCTCTACCAAAATGGGGCGGTGCCGAGATCGGTGACGATGATGATGATGATGATGACGATGATGATGATGATGATGATAATAATAATAAAGATGATGTTGACTATGATGAACAAATACGCTGGCCTGCCCTCCCAAGCCGCCCCAGGTAAAGATGGGGACGCAACGCATTTGGGAGCCGAATTTCGTGACAATTTCGTTGCGTCACACAGCGGTGCAACATACGTCTGGACGGAAGGGGGGAGGAGAAGGAGGGAGAACAGAAGAGAGAACTGATGTATTTTCTCTCGTGCGGCAGCAGTTCCTCGCGCTGGAGCATAATCGCCGGCACACGGGGAAGCAACCCCCCGAATGCCCGCGCCCCAGGGAGGGATGTGGTGGGAAAGTCAAATGAAGTGACACTGAAGCCAAAATGGCCACGATAGCAATGCCATCGGCCGGCTCCTTTGTTCCTTCATGCATTGCATGCACAACCCAACAAATACGCTGGCCTGCCCTCCCAAGCCGCCCCAGGTAAAGATGGGGACGCAACGCATTTGGGAGCCGAATTTCGTGACAATTTCGTTGCGTCACACAGCGGTGCAACATACGTCTGGACGGAAGGGGGGAGGAGAAGGAGGGAGAACAGAAGAGAGAACTGATGTATTTTCTCTCGTGCGGCAGCAGTTCCTCGCGCTGGAGCATAATCGCCGGCATACGGGGAAGCAACCCCCCGAATGCCCGCGCCCCAAAACTGCGATTATGCACTGTTGCCAGCGCCTGCCTCGACGGATTCGCGGAAAGCTTCTTTAGCGGCCTCCCTCTCCGATGGGAAACACTTCTCGCAAACCAGTTTGTGAAATGCGGGCGTGGCCCAAACTCTCTTCTGGCCGGCGAGCCCGAACTGCCAGCCGCAAGAGGTCCGCCAGACCGAGGGGCATGTCTGGACGGAGCCTTCCTGCACACGATGCACGACCGAGGAGCGCAGGTTCTGTACAAATGGGGGGCCCTCCAAACACATTTGGCGAAGGCTGGAGGTCTCCCCCTCCAGCTCCAGCCGGAGGGAGCTGACCGTGGTGGCCAACTCGGCCACCTGTGCCGTGAGTGCGGCACCAACCTGATCTGCGCGAGGCACGCTGCAAAAACTACGAGGCCGTTTCGCGACAGGCTCCTCGAACGCATCATCCGAGGCCCTGGCGGCAGCGCCGCGCGATGCCTGCAGTGCCCATCGCGCAGAATGTGACAAGGGCGCTCCGCGTATATATCCTAAGACGGCCAACGAGCCCCAACGACCCAGCAACTGAATTGCCCAAGTGTCGAGACCCGCCTGAGACAGACCTTGCGCGCCCGTCACGCGAAGAGTATGCCCCGTCCACCTTTCTTCCCCCCCAGGCCCCCACAGAGGCAACCCCAAAAGCTCCACCGCCTTGGCAATGGTTGCAGCAACCGCAACCTTCGAGCACGGGTTGCCCTGAACATCAGGGAACATGGGCAAATCGGGGAGCGGCATCCCGTCGGAAAACATATCCGGGAACTGAGCCTTCAGCCACCGTGCCTGCGAAGCCAAAGTGTGGACAGGGCAGATTGGCCCCAGGCTACCCGATTGGCAGCAACAGCCGTGGGTCCGCACAGCTCCTAAAGCCTCGGGGTCCGTCTTAGAAGCTGGTAAATTCCAGGAGACCTGCAGCTCAGCGCCACAGCCAGATGGAACTACGAATTTGGCCCTGGTACAGGAGATCTCGACCTCGCGTAGTAGCCACCAGGCGCCAGCGACGATCATGAACTTAGGATTTGCGGGCCCTCCGTGAACCCAAGGCGCAGGGCCATCGGGAAGCCGGTGAAGTTCCAGGAACGGCAATGCCGAAGCCTGCGAACACAGGCCCATGCCTCTCTCACAGGACCGCACCGCGTCCATTAAAGCTCGCGCTGCACACTGATCTACTACGTGCCCCTGCCGTTCCGCCTCCGCGCGTGCGGCAGACAAGTACAATCGGGCGGAACGATACCTACCCGCTTTAAGACTAGCTCCCAAAGCATGGACCGTCACAGCAGTGAGAGGGACAAGGCTCAATCCCCACATCTCCAGCAGTTTCCGGCACGTCTTGAGCCTGGAGGCCGCAGATGCCCGTGACGACTCCGCGTACACAGCGTTTGAAAATGCCTCCAGGGCGGAGGAGCGCAGCTCGGCCGTTCCGAGGTCGGGCAATGCTCCCCGAGCGTACTCCTGCCGGCTAGGCGCGCCAGCACGCAGCCCAGGAACTGCAACAGGGGCAGGATGCGCAGTGGAAGCTGCGCGCACTGCATCCCCAGCCCCTGGACTAGCCCCAGACCCGGCTAGAGCGGAATGGCCTCCAGCTGGGGTCCCTAATGGAGCAGCCGCCAAACCAGACCCCAAATCCCGCCGGAGGCGGTTGGAGGCTAGCGGAACCAAGTCCTCCCTCGGCCGACGACGCCGCCACATGGGAGGAACCCAAGGGACGAGCCGGCATGCGGAATGGCGGCCTGGCCTACCTTGCGCCGAAATGCCAACATGCAGGGACATGGAAAGCAAATGGGGGAAGGGAGGGGGAGGGCAAAGAGAGGCGAAGGGGAAGAGGGAGGAATTTAATCAGCGCGTGGCCCTGAGGACAAGAATGAGGTCTTGAATTGGGCACCTCGCGGCACGCGGCTGTTTGCACTCCCCGCGCCCTAAACACCCACCCCCACGGGCCGCTGAGTCATCGCCGGGCGCGGCGGCGGACAATCCGCTAACCACGCCCGCCAAATCACGGCGAGCGCCGGCGGGGGAACGGCCTTCGCGGCCAAAAGTGCCTCGGGGAAGGGCTTAGGCGGGACAGCCGTGAGCCTAGAGAGGGAATCAGCCCAGACATTTGCCTCGGACGGAAGGTGGGCCACCGAGTAGCTCCACCGATACGCGGCCTTTCGCCACGAAATCTCGCGAGTGACTGCGTTCAGACCCCTACGACCCTTGAAATTCGCAGCGCCCGTGAGGGCGCCTAAATTGTCACCCCAAATGGTAACGTGTTGTGAAACAGCATATTCGTCTGCCCAGACGAGCAAACACAAAAGGATAGCGACGGTCTCCCATAATGTCTGCCATTTCGGGTCCCCCGTTGTGGCCCCGAAGCGCTGGCAGATGGAGTCCGTCCATGCGCAATGAAAATACTGCAAAGGCATGCCGCCTCTGACCAACACGCCGCCGCAACCCCATGGCGAAGCGTCAAACTCGATATGCTCCTGTGCTGGCGGGAGGCGCTGGTCGTCTGGGGATTGGTGCACCACGCGGCGCAAAGGAAAAACAGCCCCTTGGACCAACGCCAAGAACCACGCAGCGGGAGCCGAAAACCGGCGAATTGCCACGCGACCGGGAGGAGCTTCAGGTCGGGCCGAGCGCGCGGCTGCTTCTGCGGCCGTCAGCGGTGCCCATAATGACCCCGCAAAGGGCGTCGCCTCGGGCACCACTTGCGCTATTCGGGATGCTTTCCCCACAAGCGATCGTGCCTTTGACAACGGGGCGACGCCGCCGCGCCTGGCAAAAAAAAACAATAGCACGGCAGTTTCGTCCAAGAACTCCCGCGGGAGGGACATGTGCGCCGTGCCGTCCACGACCTCGTATCTGATGCCGATCCACTGGTGGTGCCCGGATGTGAAAACGCCCTTGTCCCACGACAGGCCCAACCCGAGCGCGAGCCACCAAGCGAGGACGACATCCGCATTGAGTGGTGCCTGCCAACGTCAGGGCCGGGTCGTCGACGTACAGCTGCAGACGGCACGCATCTGCCGACAACATGGCTTGGGTCGACCGGGCCACGAACGAGGCGAACCGGGAGTAGACCAGAGGGTTAGACTTGCCTCCGAAACCTAGCACGCGCCATACGATCACCCGGCCAGAATCTACAGACGGAGGCTGTTGAAGGACGGCCACGTTAAACCTACGCTCCTGCTCGTGCAGTGGGATGCTCATGAAGGCGCCCTTGAAGTCCAGGATTAATACCTTCACGACTCCTTCGGAGCATCTGAGGGCATGCTGCGCCATGGCAGCCAGATCTACCCCGTGATCAATTCCGCGAGGGAGAACGGCCCGCTCGTGCGTCGAGGCTGTCAGATTGACCTTATTGGTCTTGAGATCCTGAATAATACGGTTTTTGAACGAACCGTCGTGCCTGCGCTTCCTGACGTTCCCCAATGATGCGGGGAAAATCTGGCCAAAGCGCGCCGTTGCCTCGGCCTCGCTGCCGAAGGTCTCTCCGAATCCTTTGGACAAGTACGAACGTATCAACTCCATCGTGGGTGGTTCGCTCTCCCCGTAATTGTCCTCAAAGGACGGGTGGTTCGACGTGAACCTGAAGGCCCCCGAAGCCAAATCTGCCGGGCATAAAATGCTAGGCGACTCGGCCAAAGGAAAATGGCCCCCAGGGGAGATGGCGCGCATAATTCCCATAGGAGCGCCAGTTTCCATCCAAGCCCCGAGCTCCTGGTCTGGGTCCTTGGTGGCCCTCAAGATCTCCTGCAAGAGCCGGTATCGAATCTCAGATGCAGGGTGAGTGCGGTCAACTTCTGCCCTGGGGAGTCCAAGCGCTCGACCGACAGCAATGCGTAGGGCGGACACCGTTTCCGGGCTGGGCGGCGGGCGGACCGGTGGAGAACCACAGCAGTCCGTCAGACACTGGAAGGACGATGTCGACCCCCGGAGTTCGACGATGGCCTCCCGCACCTTCCACATGATCTCCCGGAGCCCTCCGGCAGCAGAGACAGCGCGGGCAGCATTGCGAAGGCCCGCCGAGCAGGTCGAATCTTCGCGGCGCCGCTCTTCCCGCCGAGTGTCCCCGTCCACGCCACGAGAAGAATTACGGCGGACGCGATCGCCCTGAGAGGCAACCGTGGGAATGGAGGGGCTGTGCAGGAATGAGGTTGCTCCCGGCCCTGGCAACTCTGTCCCCGTACTCCAAGCCATGCACACGCGTACCCAAGCATCCAGGACTCCATCGTGTAGTTCGTCAGGGCCCCCAGGGACCGGGCCAACGATTCCTCGGTACGGGTGCGGGCTCGTCTTCCCGCAGAGGTAGGTGACCCCATCCCCAGCAAGACCGCATAATCCATCCAGAGCGTCGGGGCATTGGCCGTAACACCGCAATCTCACTGGACGGTCGCAGTCGGCACCAAACCGGCATGGAGAAAAACGAACGTCCGACCAACCCTCGTCGAGGAGGGAATCGAAAGCGTCCAACAGCCATATGTAAGACCGGTCAGGGCCCTCGATGCTGACGACGGCGCCACAGTCGGCAAGCGCCCGGGCCACCGCAACCACCCTCTCGGCGACTTGGTTGGCTGCGAGAACCTAGGCCCCGGCAGGGGGAATACCTGCCGGATATTTTGCCGAACGGACCCTAGTGCGCCGTGACCGGTCCTGGGCCCTTGCGAACGTCGTCTGCGGGGGGGCGAGCCGGACAACGAGAGTCCAGCCCCGAGCAGTCAAATCAGCACACTCTGCGAGGATGGGCTCAACACCGGCCTCCTCGGACAAGTTGGGGATGCCGCTCGTGGACGACAGCCCCGAGTGGCGCGCTGGCAGACCGAGCGCTTTCGCCTTCCTCGCCAGTGCGCCAGCGTTGGTAACGTCAAAGAAAAAGAGCCTCCGTCTCCAGTCCTCCTCCACCGCCTCCGTCCCAACCGCCGTCTCCACCCCGCGCCCCCCCGAAGCAGCAGCGGCCAATGCAGGCGAGGATTGGGTAGCAACGGGTGGACAGGAAGGCGAGGGAGGTGTAGGGAAAGATGGTGTAGATGATGGTGGCGAAGAAGATGACCCCGTTGTCCTCTGGATCTTAGCACTCAAGCGGGAACGTTGTCTCGACAAAGACGTTGCGAGACATGCCACAGATGCCGACAATTCAGCTAGTTTCCGCTCACGCCCCGAAACATCAGGACGCGCCGGTAATGCCGAAGCGACGCGGGGGCCACCCGTAATCCCGCAAATTGCAGGAGGTGCCTCGCGCGCGACAGCCGGCGAAAGCGGGCGCGCTGGCATTGCCGGCGCGACGTGAGAACCCACCGTAATCCCGCAAAATGCGGGGGGGGGCCCGCGCGCCCCGGCCAGCAGCGCTTGGCGCACGCCCTCATCAGGCGGCCCGTCCGCGCCCAGCGGCGTGCGTGCTCATGCGGTCGGCTTCCAATTCTTCGGCCTCGCCGCCGCCGAACACTGGTTGTCGATGGCGCGGTGCCCGCCCAAGCACCACTCACAAGAATGGCTCCGCTTGTTCGGGCATGGTCCGGAGACGCACCCGTCGGGCTTCCGGTTCCACGAGAAGCACAGCTCCTGCCCGTCTTTCTTGAGAAAGCGGCCGTCCTTCCGTTGCGCCCCAAGCGCCGCCAGGCCCTTCTTGGGATTCGCCTTCGGTTTGCCGCCTGGCGCCGAGAGGGCCCCGCCGGCCGTCTCGGCGCGCGGCTGCTGTGGGGCCGACGCTGCCTGCGTGCCCGGGCGGGGCGCCATCAAGGCAAGCTTGTCGACGTGCTCGTACCACCAGCCACTCATGGCCCCAGTGTCCGATTTGGCACTATCTCGGATCACTGCCTCCCACGGGCGCTCTGGGACAAACGTGCCGGAGTACGACCCGTTCTCCACCTGCGTCTCGATGCGCCGCCTGACCCGCTCCCACTTTTCGGAACGCATCTCGTCGTCGGCTTGGGAGATAATCCCCCAGTGGTGTGGGAAGGTGGCGCAGAGGAGCCGCATGCCTTCCTCGTACTCGTCCAAAGGCCCTGGCAGGCAGGCCTTGAGGGTCACCATGGCGGTGCGGAACACGCGCCAGCAGGCCCGCCACTGCTCGAACGAGGAGGGGGCCCTAAGCTGACGCGTGACCAACTCGCCGCCTACGAACACCTGCGCGGTGAAGCGCATGACCTTCTGCTGGCGCCTCCCAAACGGGCCCCACACCGCCATGTCCGTGTAGGGGGCGACGTCCTCCGCGAGCCTGGCCGCTAGGGCCGAGATCTGTTCCCCTGTGGCCTCTTCGTGCTCTCGGGGCGGCCCCCCATGCGCCCTCTCGAACTCGTCCAGGAAGGAGCGCAACCTGGGCTCTTGGAGCAGCTCGAACTCGCCATCGTCGGCCTGGTCGATGAAAGCCGAAAACTTACGTTTCCGTGACGCCTTCCCAGACTGCGCCGGGGAAGCGCTCGGTGCCCCGTGCAGCCCGCCGCCGGGCGGCCCGCCGCCGGGCGGCCCGTCGGGCGTTCCGCCGAGGGTGCCGATGTCTGGCGGTTTCACACCCCCGACCGCAGCAATGCGGCCCAGGATGCGCATGAGCGCCATTTTCTGAAAGGCCGAAAGGCGTGCACCAAACAGCTCGCACGAGTCCATCGCAGACGTCAGGTCGGTGACGCGCATCCCGAGCACATCGTTGACTGATACTGTCTCGTAGGACGCTCCAAGTTGCGCGACATAGGCCTCTAACAACTCCTGGTCGGCCCCCGAAGCGGATGCCACGGCGGCGACCCTGAGGTTATGGTTCACACCTGCGGCGGCCCGAGCACGTGCCTTGGGGGTCGGTTCGGCCAGCGCCGCAGCCCCATCCCCCGCCTGAGGCTCCCCCGCAAACCACTCCGCCATGTGCCCCCAACCTGTTTGAGGGAGCCGGTGGGGGAGGAAAGTGACAAATGGAAAGTGGAAAGGTACAGTAAGGAATCAAGGAGAAAGACAAATGAAGTGACACTGAAGCCAAAATGGCCACGATAGCAATGCCATCGGCCGGCTCCTTTGTTCGTTCATGCATTGCATGCACAACCCATGATGCTGATGTTGATGATGCTGATGGTGGTGGTGATGATGACGATGATGGTGATGATGGTGATGATTATGCTTATTATGATTATTACTGTTTTGATGCCGATATTGATGATGATGATGATGATGATGATGAAGATGATGATGATGATGATGAGGAGGAGGATGATTATGATGATGCTGATGCTGATGCTGATGCTGATGATGATGATGATGATAATGATGATGATGATGATGATGATGATGATGATGATGATGATGATGATGATGATGATGATGACGATGATGCGAGGAGGAGGGAGGGGGCAGCGGGAGGAGGAAGGAACGCGGGGCGCTGTCTCTTCAAAACGAAGACCCAACACCACAGGATGGTTGGAGTAAAAAAAAGCCACCTGCCCGAAGAAAGCCCGGGCGGGGGGGTCCTTCTCCGCCGCCTCGAGCGGGTGCGCGCAGTCGGCGAGCCCCGCCGCGAAGGACTGCAGCCACATCCCCACCGAGGCGGGCATCGCCCGCTGCATGTGCGTGTAGCCCGGCATGGGCACCTCCCAGGCCGCCCCGGCGCCGCTCGCCGAGGGGCGGCGAAGCACAGGGGTTGACCGAAGCACTGTTTTGCGTCGTCGTGCCGCTTTCGCTCTGTGAGGCGTGTGGAAGACCAGAATTGTCCGGCCGCCTGTCCAGAAGCTCCTCGTGGCGCCAAAGAAGCCCAAGTCGTGATCGGCCCATGGCGGGCCCTCGAATAAGAAGCACAAGGAAAGCAGAGAGATAACGAAAATCATCCACGATGTTGCCAAAACAACGTTTTAGTCGAACCCCCCGCGAAGAACACAAGGGGGTGGGGGGGGCGGTGAGCCTTTCCCTCCTCCGCGAGCGCTGGGACCCACAGCCGACCGAGAGCAGAGCGTGTGGCGCGCGCGGGCTGAACTTGCAGGCTGGGCGCGGGCCGACTGCACCCCACACTGAGGCCCGAAGGGGAGGGCAAGGCAGAGGCGGAGCGGCACGAGACGAGACGAGGCGGCGTGCAGCAGGCAGCGTGCAGCTGAAGAGGGCAGTGCAGCCACCGTGCTACCTCGAGGAGCGCTGGAGAGGGAAACGAAGGGGCTTCTCTGGCCACGGCGAACCCTGACCACAGGCAGGCTCCCCGATCCTAGCTAGATCCGAGGAAGGGTGCAAAAACCAGAGCCGCTCCCGAGCCCAAAGTGGGCGGAAGCACGGACGAGGCAGAGGAGGGTGAGGAGGACACGGCTCCCTGTGGAGGAGGCGAAAAAGGTGGCGGAGCAGGAGGGCTCCGACCCCGAAGAAGCTTTGGCAACTCTCGATCCCGACTGTGATTCGCGGAAGCCGCGGAATGCACAACGCTTCCACTTGAGCGATTTCGGAAATCATGAACCCAAAACCTTGTCATCTTTTGGGGGCACATGTTTTACTTCCACCGCCTTCCGCCGAACTTCCGCCGGCTTCCGCCGGCGGAGGCGGCCTCGTTTTACTTCCGCCGACCTTCCGCTGCCCTTCCGCCGCCTCCTGCCCAGGAAGAAATGACAGCTCCTTCTATCCTCGAAGGCAAGGCCCTTTTTGGAACGTCTCAGTTGACTGTACGGAGGGGGGGGCGAGGGCCCCAGTCGTGGTTTTTCACAGCGTCTTTCTTGAGTTCACGACGGCGGACGGCAGGGGCCTGACGGGCTGCCCCACCTGTCCTGCGCTCCTCCCCAGACCTCCACGGCCTCACGGCACTCCTCCTATCTCCTCAGCATTATCCTCCTGCTCCTCCTCCTCCTCCCCGGAGCACGGGCCCTCCTCCTCCTCCTCCTCCTCCTCCTCCTCCTGCTCATCCTCCTCCTCCTCCTCCTCCTCCTCCTCCTCCTCCTCCTCTCCTCCTCCTCCTCTCCTCCTCCTCCTCCTCCTCCTCATCTCCTCTTCCTCCTCCGCCTCTTCCTCCTCCAACTTCTCCTCCTCCTCCTCCTCCTCTTCCTCGTCCTCGTCCTCCTCCTCCTCCTCCTCCTCATCCTCTTCCTTCTCCTTCCCATCGCCATCGTTCTCCCCATCGGCAGCATCATCATCATCATCATCATCATCATCATCATCATCATCATCATCATCATCATCATCATCATCATCATCGTCATCGTCATCATCATCATCATCATCATCATCATCATCATCATCATCATCATCATCATCATCATCACCATCACCATCAGCGTCATCATCATCATCATCAGCAGCAGCAAACTTATCATCAGCATCATCAGCATCAGCAACATCAGCATCATAAGCATAATCCGCATACTCCTCATCATCATCATCATCATCATCGTCATCATCATCAGCATCATCATCATCAGTATCATCATCATCATCATCATCATCAGCATCACCATCATCATCATCAGCAGCGTGATCATGATAATAGCCATAAGCATCATAATCATAGTAATCATCATCATAGTCATCACCATCATCATCATCATCATCATCATGATCATCATCATCACCAGCATCATCATCAGCATGACCATTAGCATCATGAGCATCATCATCGTCATCATCATCAGCAGCATCATCATCGTCGTCGTCCTCATCATCATCGTCATCATCGTCAGCATCATCATCAGCAGCAGCAGCAGCCAGCATCAGCATCAGCATCATCATCATGATCATCATCAGCAGCAGCAGCATCAGCATAGCATCATCATCACCATCATCATCAGCATCATCATCATCGTTATCATCAGCAGCAGCATCAGTATCATCAGCATCAGCACCATCATCATCACCATCAGCAGCAGCATCATCATCAGCAGCTTCAGCACCAGCATCATTATCATCATCATCATCATCATCAGCATCATCAGCACCACCATCAGCACCATCGTCATCAGAATCATCGCCGCCATCATCATCAGCTTCAGCAGCAGCAGCATCATCATCATAAGCATCAGCATGGCCACCACCACCAACATCATCAGCATCATCATCACCATCACCGTGATCAGAATCATGACCAGCATCATCCTCATTATCAGCATCAGCAGCATCGTCATTCTCATCATGCCCGTCCTCAGCAAATTCATCATCATCGTCCTCATCATACTCATG